AAGATACATACAGGGTGATCAACTTATCGTGAACCACTCAATATCTCACTGGGTTTAATGAATATATATATTTTTTTTCCATAATACTTTTATACAATGCGATCTCAATTTTTCACCATTTTTTTTTTTGTTTCTACCCCTTCCCAAATAAGTTTTTTTTTAAAGCGACTTTTGAAACGTAAATGGTAACGCATACATTTCATTAACTTTTTTAAATAAAAAAAGTGTACTAAACATTTTATCTAGCCGATAACCAGTTTTGACTTGTCACAACATGTCGTGATACGGTAATACGCTCGATCCCCATTGGTCGAGAAACACGGCGTCTAGGACATGGCACGTATAAATAGCGGTAGGGAATGAGCAAAACAGTCAGTATGGCCACGGCAGCTGAACAGTCGAGACCATTATCGCTCTGCAGATGGACTCTGCAAAGAGTCCGAAACGTCGGCATATAACAAGTGAAGTGGATATGTCCGAAACTCTTTCAAATGTTATGTAGAACTATTAATGCTATTATTATTATTGTTTTTTTTTTTTTTAACCATGTACATTAACAAATGAAAGAATAAACGACAACAATTTATATATAATAAAAGGAAATCTTGTTATTTGATATAATAATAAGAAATGCTATTAAGTAAATTAATTAGTATTTAACTAATTCAAGTCAAAACACAGACTTAAAAGATTGATTTTTAACAAATATAACATTTTCTCAATTATGTGTCGTAACTCTTTTATTTTATTAAAGAAAAACACAATTTAAAAAACCCTAGTTTTTTTTTCCGCTCCAAGGGAAAAACATAGAATCATGGTTATGTTTTAGCGATACGGTTTTACGCATAGGTCCGTAGTACTTTTTCCTGATAAAATATCATTCTAGTGTGGTATGTGTGGGCAAGAGTTTGGCTTTGTTTACATTATTTTATTCTTAAAAAATTATGTACAATTAAGTTTCTGGCTAAAATTGTAGTGTTTATTATCTGGCCAAAAGTAACTTAACATAGAGAATTCAACTATTTTGAATTATTTAGTTCTAATTTGAACGTTGAACGTACAACATATCTCTTATCTTCTATATCTTACCCCTCTCCCCTACCCACTATCTCCCGTCCCTATCACTCACCCCTATCTCCCACCCTATCTCCTGTCCCCAACCCTATCCCACCCCTACCCCTTATCTCCTACCCTATTTCCACCTCCAACCAACTCCGTGTGGTAACGCTTTTTTGGTAAGCTTTTTTCGGTTATGTGCCAGAGCTAAGACATGAAAATGTCAAATTAGCGTTACCAAAAAGATTGGGTTGAGATGAGGTTGGGGGTGGAATGGAATAGGCTTGGGGGAGAATTTTTTTTTTTGGCTGGTTGGCAGCAATTCTCCACTCCTGACGCTTCTCCGCTTTCCTTTTTAATTCGCAATAAGATCTGCAGTCCATATCTCTAACTATTTGACTAATGTAGTCCAGTGGCGATCGCCCTCTGCTGTTACTCCCTTCAATGGCACCTTCTATTATCCTCCTAAGTAGACTGTTTTGACGCAGTATGTGTCCAATTAACTTGGCTCTTCTTGTTTTTAAGGTCTTCAGAAAACTTCTTGTTTCTCCGGCTCTTCGATAAACTTCTTCATTTGTCATGTGTTCTGTCCAACTTATTCTAATTAGTCTTCTGTAACACCATGTCTCGAACGCTTGTAGTCTTTTTCTTCTGTTTTGCCTATGGTCCATATCTCACTTCCATACAGTGCTACGCTCCAAACATAAGCCTTTAGTAGGTTTTTCCTCACTTTTATGTCAATATTTCTAGATATAAACATATTTTTCTTGCTCTGAAATGCACATTTAGCATGGTTTATTCTGCTTATGATCTCCCTGGTACTACGGCCGTCCTCAGTTATCGTATTTCCCAAGTATTTGTACTCATTCACTTGCTCTAGTGTGTCGCCATCTAGTGCAATTTGAGTTTGGGTTCCTTCGTTGCGGCTACAAACAAGGACTTAACAAGGGTGAGAATTAGCCGGTAAATAACCGAAAAAAAGTGTTACCAAAAAAGCGTTACGCTGTCACGCGCCGCAAGGTAACAAAAACTACGAAGCGACGACGAAAGACAATTATCGGAAAGACCATTTCGGATCCATTTCGAATATTAATCTGTTACGCTGTTATCTGATATGAGATAAGAGATATGTTGTACGTTCAAATTAGAACTAAATAATAAATTCAAAATAGTTTAATTCTCTATGTTAAGTTACTTTTGGCCAGATAATAAACACTACAATTTTAGCCAGAAACTTGATTGTACATAATTTTTTAATCTCCTTAGCTTATGCGGTAACTGGAAGCTCCATGTCATTTTTTTATTTTTATTATAATTCCACAACTAATCTACGTTTATTCGGTACTTCAACGAGATATGAAAATGCTCTTTCGTGGTTGCAGACTCGGCTGAAAATCTTTTTCTTTATGTCGATGATGCGAAATCGTAACACGAATTTTCCATGCAAATTTTGGAAAAAACCCCAGCCCGAAAACATATACATGTAAATATATTATTTATCATGAATGGGATAAAATTAGATTATAATATAATATATTGGTCCCTGGTAGATCGGAGTCAGTAGCGGATCGCTTTTTTGATTATGGCTTTGTAAAACTGAGAGGAGCAAGTCAAAGTGACGTATTAATTATTATTAACATTCAACGTGTGCACTGTGCACGTGTGGATTGTCAGCAGCTGTAGACAAAACGCATTATATGGTGGCGGCTGCTATGAACAGGTGTGTTTTATAGAACCCTGGCACACATATTTATTATTCAATAAATAAATCTTAATTGTGACACGAATTTTCCGCGCAAATTTCAGAATGAACCCCAGAAACATATCCGTGTTAAAAATAAAAAATTACTCTCTAAATGGAGTAAATTTTTTGGTAGCTATTTGTGAGTCAACAGTCAACTGGTATCCAAAAATGTATTCATTAAATTGTTAATTACGACGTTTGGGTATCTATGCCAATAAACTACTACAGCTTAAAATTAATTACAAGATTTAGGAATTTAGGTCTGAATATTAGACCGAAGATTGATCTTGAATGGAACTGTAACATATACAGTTTTCTCAACAAATTTTTTTTAAGAAAAACCCTCCCAAAAAAAGGGTAAAATTACACTTTGATCGTAGTCAATTTCCAGGTTAGGTGGTTACACGAAAATGTAATATTTTAATTGCTTTTTAACAAAATTAGTGTTTGAAAAGATTAAAAAAAAAGCAAAATTGGAAAAGCTAGTGCAGTGGGAACTTTAGTTAAAATTATTAAGAAAACGTACATACAAATAATAAATTAACCAATCCACTACACAAATATTAAAATAACTTTTAGATACCCTTAAACGGTATTTATTTGAACTTCTCTCTTTAGGCATTTCGAGTTCTATTTCAGCTTCTATGTATTTTACATGTACATAAATTTATACTATAAAAGTATTATACCAGAAAATTAGACCAACTGTAGGTCAAGAGTGGAAATATAATATAATATAAAATGTTTACCTTTTTTTTTTTATTTAGGAAAAACAAATTTAAAAAAAAAGGAAAAATCTAGGTTGCTATATGTGAGTGAATCAACAGTCAACGGGTACCCAAAAATGTATTCAATTAAATGTTAATTATGACACTTGAGTATCTATGGAAATAAACTATTGAAGCTAAAAAAAAAATTAAAGAACATAGCTTCAATGATTTGATCGATATTTTTATATTTATCTTTAAATACTGGACCTTCATTATTTACTACTACTCAATTACTTATACTGCTTCTTTACTGTATTACTCTGTACCTAATATCCGCAGATTCGCATTGAAGCGTTTATTATGTTTCAGTTTTTTTTTATTATTTTCCTTAAAATGATTATTCAGATTAGTTTAGCGAATATTTGTTATGTTAAAAGTATGTTGAATTGTAGCTTTATTTTGTAAACAAAAAATATAGAAAGCAACAAATAACATCGTCAAAAAAATAAACATATTTCTTAAAAATCTGCGGTGAAACTTTTTTTTATTAAGTAAAAACCAAACTAAAGGGAAAAGTTACACTTTGATGATTGCTAGTTTATAAGTTGCAATGGGTGACAGTGAATCAACAGTCAACCGGCATTTGCAATATATTTGCATTTTATCGTTGTTTACCATATTATATGGGTAATGAAGGCAACGCGTTATTACAGAAAAACGACCAACCCTAATCGTAACCATCCTAGTAGTAAAAATACAATGTTAAATGCATTAATCATTCGTGTCATTACAACACTATTAGTATCTATAGCTGTATTTCAATAGATTCACTTTGAACCGTTTGTTTAAATGTGATTTTGTCACATTCAATCAGGTCGGTCCAACTCAAATCCCGAACCCATTGTACTGGCTTCGTGCTTTGTGTATATCGGCCGAAAGCCGTACTTAATACACGTAGTCATTGTCTGTAATCGTTCAAGCAAGGTTTTTTTTTTCTTGTTAAAATTATTACTGTTCATTTCACGGATTGTTAAGGACAGTAGTAATAAAATAATAAAATATCTATGTTCTCAAATCCTATGTAAATAGTACATCTGAAATTTTCGTCAACTTTTGATGGTTCGGTATAACCTTGGAAGTTACTGTGCCTAAAGACCAAAAAAACACATCATTTTAAAACCCATATACTTTCTCAGCTTTGGCGTCGAAACTGAAACTATTAAACGTACATTTCTAAATTATTTTTATCATGCGAAGAAAAATAGCGAAGACCTGCAAAATAAAAAAACCATGTGCAATTTTTAGTCGACGGAATAGAACACGATATTATAATAGATAAATAAAAACTCTAGTACAGACATTAGTTTGAAAAGCAAAAAATAAGAAAAACAGCGTACAGACTGAGTCAGAATAATGTATTAAATCGTATTGAAAAAACAACCGGCTATGTAAATAGTTAAATAAAGAGAACCGTGCAAAACATATTATGGTTTTTTTGTTTCTGTCGTTATATGAACCCATCTACATATCGCAAGAGTTGAGAAAATCACTTTAAGGCATTTTATCAAACTGTGCTAAATTTACTAAATAATTTGACCATTTAAATTATAATATTAATAAGCAACAGTCTTGTTCTTCAAAGTTTGTAGGTACGCATTTTATACCATTTTTTCTAGGTTTATGTATTATTTTTTTTATTATTCTTTACTAACTATATGTTGTAGCAACATTAACGAATGAAATCTTTTTCGGAATAACAGCATTACTTTTGTAATTACATTTTTTCATAGGTTTATATAGTTTACATTTTTTAAATTTTTTTATTAAGCTTGCGATAATTTTTAACCGTTCTGCTAGTTTCAATAAATACATTTTTAAGCATTTTTTTTAGTTTTTAATTTTAAAGTGTTTTTGGAACGAAGTTCCTTATCGCGGGTTGGCGAGGGGACCAACCGAGCGTGATCGGTTCCCAGGAGTGAGTGGTACCGGGTTCAAATCCGGCTCCCCTCTCAACACTTTTTGCACTTTTTTTTCAACTTTTATGGTAATTTATACTGCAAGAAGTCTAAAAACTTATAAAATATTTATATTTTATTACTACAGAATACATTTTTATCCTTAAAAGTAATTGATAACCTACGTTGCATTCGGTTTTTCGTCATTTATTATACTTCTCGTACTGATGATTGAATAAATTTTTTTTTTTTTGTATAATTGCACTATTTTAGAATTTAACCTATAACCTGTACCTGTTTGATGAAAATTAATAATTGTCATTGATATACGTCTAAAATATATTACCTCATTACGTTTCATTACTATGTTAATAACCGTTTGTACCAAAGTAACTATGAGTAATATTGTACGAAATCAAAGTATGTAGTATAAAATGTCTTGTATGATTAACACAATCTTTTAAAAACAAATAAATAATTATACATATATATATCAATGCTTCGTAACAACCATAACTTGACCACAACATTTAATTTTTTTTTTTGCTTTTCTAAAAAAAAAAGGGTTGACTATTCTAAAAGAGTGCAATAAAAAAATGTTTCCACCTCTTTGAATATAAATGGTTAGGGGTATTTGTCCCACCAAAATAAGTTTTTTTTATTATTTGCAGATAAAAATGATACTTTATAGTGTTATAATATCATGTGCCTTTTTAAATGTCTTGGCCTATGATATGAGTAATTATTTATTTTACGTACTCGAATAAGTTAAAAAATAAAAAAACTAAACCTAACTTTTTTCACAGATGACTATTATAGAGCGGTTTTCATTACAAGTCAGTAACCTTATTTTTCCTACATAATTACTTTTAAGTTTTTACATTTTTTTGTTTTAAACAAATTTGAAATTAAATTACATTATTTTTATTAAATAATTTAATAGTTTAAATTTAATCAATTTAGACGGACTCATCGATGAAGCTATTCGTATGGATTTTGGTAATCCAAACTTAAGTAAGGAATACTTAAAATACTACACTGATATATAATGGCTGCGTGGTTATATTTTTACATACAATATTTTATACTTTTATTTTAAGAACTTATATTTTTAAATTATGATTTTATTGGAATTTGATTTTATAGTTTAAACTATTATTTGATTATTCTAGATGGATTCGTGCATACCATAAGGAGAATGGTTTTATCAGATCATGATGATTTCGTCTTTGGTAGTTATAAATTGTTTTATAATAAAAACATAAACCAAATGCAACTCTTAAAAATTATCCCATAACCGTTCCACGGGAATCTCAAGGTTATTAAGTTACATTTTTATGCTTGTGCCAGAAATCTAATCAGAACTCTATATTTCATATTATCTTTTATACTTCATATAATTGCAGCCCTGACAGGATTCTTTACATGATCTTAAGAACCTGACTTAGATCTGTGATATAAATTTTCAATTTTGCTCTTAAATCTTAACGAATTTCTTTAAATCGAATATAATTGCTATATTATATTTTACGTCTGCTTAATTTAATAATTTATAATGATGACATTTTCACTCAATTTAACAAAATAGAACCATTCATATTTTTACCGAATAAATTATCAACATTTATTTTGTACCTTGATTTCTGTCTTCTAATATATTATAATATAATTGAACATGTAATCAATTTATGTTGTCTTAACTTCAGATAAAGTGAAATTTATGGTGGCAGTACCAGGTAATAGTTTTTTTTTAGCATTACATGGCTATATTTTAATACAACCGTTTGATTTTTCATCAGGTATAAAAATGTTTTTGTTTTAATTTCAGAACGTGCACAACGTAACAATCTAGGCGGTAATAATTACAATTTTCTCTATAATTCTTAAATTAAAAAAAAAAATGCTTTCTACTCCATTACGTACATAACTAATATAGATCAAGAACAATTGTGTTCTTTTTAGAGAACAATTAACTTCTATGAGGATTTCCATTTTGACTTAAGATGTACATTAAAATTTAATTTCTTTTTAATTTTAGAATACATGAGATTCCAGTTACGATTTCAACAGGAATTGACCAGTGTTACAAGTAAATTAAAAATTAATCATATTTATGTGAACAATAATTATCAATAAGTTTAAAAAAAAAAGATTAACATTAGATTGTTCTTTTAAAATTTAAATTCATAAGGCGATATGTTTCTTGCCTAAAGTTATGACGATAGTTCGTAAAATTATTTATATATACTAAAAATAATTATTGTATGTACATACAATATTTTACATTGATATTGGTTTAGTTTTATTGCGACCCCTAAAAATGAAACATGTTTATTGGTTTTTATTCGTGTATTATTATATTTTGATATGGTATATTTTTGTAACAGACATTCAGCCGCCTCCGCCAAGTTCAATAAGTAAGTAAATAACGCTTTACACTTAGATTATCAATCGAAATTCGAAATTACTTGAATTTGAAAGAAGCAATCCACTTCTCCGATTTCTTCCAATTATATTAATGTGTTATATTTTTGTTACAGTTAAGGGACCGTCTGTGACAGGTATGCATGCATTTTTTTACTAGTATTTACCATTACAAATCGTTACCAAAATTGCAACTGTTATAATTACTATTAAAATAAACGACTACTATGACTCAACTTAGTTATTGTTTACTAGCCAGATATACTTTTAAAGTTGGACGCAGTTGGATGTTAGTGTTAAAATTTAGAAAATATGGCAATTATGACAATAAAGGGTCATGTTATAGTCAAACAATCAACCCTTGTCGTAGTCACCTTAATACTAAAAATACAATTTTCAACACTTTACTGTTCTTTCTTACTATATTTTTAACTATCAGATATATAGTGTCTTCATCAGAGACTTTCTTCCTGTTATATTAAGATGTTATATTTTTATTACAGCTATTACAATGCCTACGCCAGGTAAGCATTCATATTTTATTAGTTAGTCGTAAATAGCCCTTTAGACTTCGATTATCATTTGAAATTTCTTGAATTTAAAAGAAGCAGTTTCATTGGCGCAATTAGAGAGGGTGTTAGGGAAGCTCAAATCCTTATAAACTCGTTTAGTATCTAAAAATATGCCAGCAACCATCAGACACAGCCCCCAAGTAATGTTTATAATTTCAGAACTTTCAGAGTTTTAAAAAGGTCTGAACTTTCTTAGCACCCCCTCTAATTGCGCCAACGAGCAAGTTTAATTCTCATTTTTGGCAGGAATGAAACCTATCATTGAAAAATCATTATTTTGATGTAGTATTATTATAAAGTATTGTTATAAATAAAACGTTCAAAATGCAAAATTTGCTAAATAGAAGTGACGTGAACTTTAAAAAAATATTTTTGTTTTAAACTATTGTATTGAAAAATGGTTAAATCGATTTTGTAATATGTATCTACACTACAATTTCCAAACTATGCCGTTCATATTATGAAATTTGAGAATGTCGAGTATAGGTTTTCAAAATCATTAGCCTTTAAGATGGATTTATAGATCACTAAAGACTCATTTTTTTTTCTCAATTGTGAACTCAATATGTCCCGGTTTAGTTGCAATAAGGCGTAGTATGACAGATATTATGTTTATTTACAATCTTGTTAATCTCGTTTTATTAATTTAAAAAATATATAATATTGAATGTCCTGTTTTTAATCACAGTTGGGTTTGTGTCCCAATTCATACATTATACATTTTAAGGGGTTTTGGCCTTTTTTTTTATAAAAAATGAATAAATAAATAAATTATTGACAATATTTTTTTTTACATCTGAAAATAGTACTGTAACCTATGCCGTTCCAATTTGGTACGTTTCCGCTAAGCCTAAAACCCACTGTACGGGCAATTTTATTGTGTATTACAGAAAATCCTTTTCCAATACTTAAAGAAATAGAAAAACTTGCACTTCACCTAAGGAGAAAAACTAGAAGAGCTTTATTGAATCTCCTCAAGTTTGATGTTCTTATACCTGAGCAGAGTAAGTATCAGAATTTTATAATTTGTTTGCTCTTTTAACCATATCACTGTACATATAGTATACCATACAGAATAAAAAAATTGAGTTTACCTAGTATTAAAACACTACTGACAAAATCAGATGATCGTGAGTGTGTATGGGTCAACTTTATTAGGCTATTAGTATAACGACATTGGTATTGTATTATATTATCGTGTACATAATACGACGACTATAGTGCTGGGACCCATATGGATTCATTAGCTTCGAATTTGTGTTTTTTATAAAACGGCAAAATATGATAACTATTGTGGATAGTAAAATAATGTTACTTGATTGTTATATTTACTTGATTGCAATTATTACGGTATGATTATTGATTGCTGCTGGTATAATGTTTGGGTCATTTTAGTCATTTTTTATTAATAATGAAAAAAAAACAATTAAAATGGAAATGTAAAAAATAACTTAACAGTTCGGCGTGGAATCTAAAATAACGTTGTCTCACGTGATTACATTGGTGATTTTAATTGACTGATCTAGAAAAAACTTAAGCAACTTATGATTATATGTAATAAGATAATATTAACCTATTAAAACCCTTAACCGAAACAATTATTACGATGCATTTCGGCAACAATGTTGTCATCTTCAGCGCTAACGACAGACTAGTATGTTAAACGACTAGTCGGCTAAATTCGACTAATTAAATTTTTTTTTTTTATTTAGACCAAGATCATCCCTATACTCCTGGACAGAAATGTTTTATAGTAGGATTGGCAGTGAGTTGTAACAACTGCGATTTTGCACAAGATGTACGTGTTGATGAAGATTCAAATGCTGACAATGTGTTTTCTACTGGTCCCATTTGCGTCATAACAGATATAGCAGACAATCAAAGAAAATACATAATACGAGACAACGAATTTCGAGAAGTATACCGTAATCAATCTCATGTGATAATACCAAGTCCTTTAGGAAACCTTTATACGCAGTTATTGAAATCGAAGGTTTAACGATTTCTCGTACAAGTCTGTTTTTAATATTTAATACATAAATTATATTATGGTACCGTTATTAATATATTTATATCATGTTTTACGTGACTCGCTCATAAATTTTTTGTCAAATAGTTAAACGTGTGTATCTAATGAATAAACAGTTTTCCTCACTATTTTAAACCCGCCTGTTGTTAATTTATTGTTTTATACTTGTATATTATATATATATATACTGCTTACTTTAGACCTAACAGTATGTGTTGAAATGTGTCGATGCGATTTGTTACTATTTGAAAAATTAAAGACGGTTTAAATTAAAGGGGTTGTACGCCTGTTTCTCCAAATGGAATACAACAGTCAACAGTATAATGAAAATATATTTTGTCAGATGATTTGTCAATTCATTGGCACGTGTAAAACGAGTTTGCGCTCATACAATATAATATGACGTAGTATAGAATCACTATATTGCCTTCGTTCAAGTTTTATTTTTATTTTTATAATAGCCTCTATTGTTTTCTAGTTCATTCTGTATTTTTTAGTTTTATATTCTAGGTTAGGTAATGAAATATACTTTAAAAAATATATTATAGAATTTTCGTTTTCAATTTGAAAGTTTTTTTTTTTGTGAATATTCGAAGGTTGTAAATCGTCAGTTGACAATATCTTGTTCAGTGTACATAATACCGTATAGGTGTTGTGCAAAAAGGTATAATGTACACAATACTGAACTTAAAAAACAATTCGTGCAAACGATCATGACAATGAATAGGCATTATTAAAATGATAAGATTCGATTGTTGATTAATTCAAGAAAAAAATATCGATTTAAATGTATATGGGGATTATAGTTATTATTTCTCTAAAACAAGTTAGGAAAGCCATTGTAATTTCAACGTGATGAACCATATTATATCCACTCAGATTCTTATATTTAATTAACTGAGTGTTTAAAATGTTTTATCAACATAAGCCTGACGTATATTTTCTTAACTATTTCAGAAAAAATCTGAATTTTCTGAGGCAAATTATAGCTAATCAAAATTGAAATTTTGCAGATTGACAAAAATTTGATTTATTTGCTTTAAAACGATAACCTGGTTAGGCGTTTTAACTACTCTTAGTGCCACAATAAAATCAAAATTTATCTATCCTTTGTACCTATCCATCTGTCGACATTTTTTCACTATTTTAAATTCGTAGTATATTTTAAGAAAACATAAGCAGAGTTATAATTATGACCGAACATGTTTGCCAAGGACAAGGTTAACTAAAAACGCATAACAGTGTTGTCGCTCACTAAAACATCAAACAAATGACATGGGTACGTTAGGTGTTTTTTATAGAGCAAAACTATTAAATTAAAAAACTACCTACACAGAAATTTAAAACGATTGCTGGTCGACGTTTCCTGGGGAAAAATATAACATAAATAATTTTTTTTTCAATGGTTTTGAAGAAAATTAGTGTGTAATATTTACATTTAAGTATTTCAGTTTTAATGTATGAAAGCGTTATTCAAAATATCTTCAGCAATTTTCACTTACAATTTAAACATTAAAAAAACGTTCAAAAAGAAGATTAGCAAAATGTTTATTTTAAACTTAAAATACCGGTATTTCAGTAAACTACGGGAACTCCTGTGGCCATGTTATTTGGATAATGGACAGTACCGATCATTAGCACAGGACAAAACATTATTTCATAATTCTGTTTTTTTTAATTTTTCGAGTATAGATTTAGTGATTTAGGTCTGAAAATTAGACCGAAGATAGATCTAGATAGGAACTGTTCATCAATTTTTTTGACATGTACAATATGTCTATTGGCTGGGGGTCAATTCGAAATCTGTACGTGTGTGTATCACGCGGAACGTTACCTAGGAAAATTTGTGCATGTGGCGCGTCCAATCGGTTGTAAGTGATTAGACGTTAGATACTCCAAATTAGGTACTCCTAATTAGGCTATAAGGATATAAAAGGACATATAAAGTTATAAGGATCCGCTTTCACTCTATTAACCATCAGCCCTTCTTTGATCAGGTCAATGATCAGCATCGCCTTGTCCGCAAAGAGCTTCATATTCTCTTTATTCGATAAGGCCTTATTATCAGAGTCACGTTCTCTGACCTTGTTGTTGAGCCAATCCAGTTCTGCCATAATCCTTTCACAACACTCGCCGCTTGATCTTTTCTCCGCAGTCTTTAGCTTTTCCCCGGGCTCCTCGTCCTCGGACGACTTCCTCCTCTCTCTCTTTCCAAGCTTGGGTCTCACATCCGGCGTACTCGAAACATCACTATCACTCAAGACAATAGACGACGTTACGAATGTCAGTAATAAATATTGTTTTTTCACAAATTCTCCCGTTTGTCTTAGTCCGGGGGGGGGGATGAACCCCTGTTAATATAGGTCCCAGACCGGGCCAGACAGATTGGCGGCGTTAAATTGGTCAAACAACGGCTACAAGGTCGAAAACCCGCAAAAACCTATTTATTTACCCGTCGTTGTCGGGCGTTGCTATGCACGAATAACGAACAATAAATATTTCAAAAATTCCAATGTTGAAATCTGATAACTCGGAATTACTCGGCCACCACGGCAGATAGGAAGGCGCGCGACCCCGGGTTGGAATCGCTGGACTTTCCTCTATCTGTCGAGACTTTGCGCGCGAGAATCCGGTACTTAGAATTAAAGTATTATAGGTCTCGAAGGACCACTATACCTAAAGACTAACCTTTGCGTTTCACGTCATCCAGCCCTTCGCCGGACCTCCGAATCGACGCTTCGGGTAAGGAACACCGCCCGAATCAACTAGACAAGTCCAGAGTAGTCGGGTTGCTCCAGTTCTCCTGTTTCGATTAATTATTTTTCCCTAGCAACGTGGTCGCCGGGGTATTTTTCACGTCTCTCTTCGCGAGGGTTGAGACTACGATGCTCCCTCCACCGTCGTCGATAAAAGGAGTCGTAGTGTAAACGGAAAACAGAAAATTATAAAAAACGATCGCGAATTACTTATGATATTAACGGCGTTGTACCACTCAGTAATATTATTACGCGGATATTATAAAACTACTAAAAAAACGTTTGGCCAGAACATATTATCAAGACTATACTCTCGTCATATATCGCAAAGAGATTATAGATCGGAAATAATTATATAATTATCGGGACATATCCGTGTATCGGTGTATCTGCATGAAGTCTTAACTTATAGTTTTTTTTTTTATTGGAGGAATGGTTTCTTGTAACCAGGAGCTGTGCGTGGGATCAAAGCCTGAATAACTTGTTTATAGGTGAGTTACGAGCAGTCCTCGGTATAAAATGAAATTGGTGTGGCGAGGATAACCGTTAACTAAAATATTAATACATAAATGATTGTTTAAGCAAGGTAAATTATACATACAATTATATATATATATGTACTGAGTTTGACCTCACATCAAGGTATATAAATTTACTTTCGTTATGTAAAAGATACGACCAATTAAGAGTAGACGCAAGTGGTTTTTTTTTTTAACATTCTAAGTAATAAATTAACTTTATCTACAAGCTTCTATTCCGAGATCATCGCTGGACCAGAGACAAGGTACGTGGAGATATACTTTATCATAATACATATTAGAGTAATAGTATGATTAAATGAAACTAGGGCACAATAAGAATTGCATCAGCACACAGTCCCATATCATACCTGCAAATCTTACTCCTCCCTAGAATTTTTTTTTTTTTTTTATTACTACAGAAGATTGATCTAGAATGAAACAGTAACATATACAATTTTCTCAACAATGTGCGGTCAAATTTTTTTTTTAATTGAGAAAAACCTTCAAGAAAAAGTGAAAGTTACACTTTGGCCTAAGTCAATTTCCAGGTCGCTAGTGAGATGATAAGTAATACATTGCATTTAGATTAATATGTGTTTTATGACTATATGGGTATTAAAACGAAACATTTGTTCAACAAGCTCTAAAAGATGAAGCGCCTGTAAAAATAAAATATAGGTAATTATTAAAATACATTGTAGTGGTTCAAATAAAGGAGAGGTAAGGGGGCTCATCGTATGGTAAATGGGAAAAGATTATGGAAGCTGAAGGAGCTATCCTACACTCCCCTAACCTCTTCAAAATTAAACCATTACGCTAAATATTATTGTGATGTGTGTGAATATGTTATTGTGTATGTACCTCGTTTGTAGTGAAGCAACAATGTTGAAGCAGCAGCTTGTAGATTAAATTAATTTATTACTTAGATTTAATAATAAAATACACTTGCGTCTAATTTAAATCAGTCACCTATTTTAGTAACTGATATGATTTTCTAACGCGCGTACTTATAAATGATATATCTGTGGCTCACTCAGCGTATGATAATTATTTGCTTAAATGAAGTTGCTGCTTTTATTTGTACTTTTTATATCTTTTTAACTTGGTGATCCTCTACCATGCTACATGATAACTAGTCAGAGGACTACACAAGTTCGTTCAGAAGTTCAGACATACCGGGCCGCGATATTTAGAAGCAACCGACCTTAAGGGTCGATATTTAACCTCACTAAACAGCCGCTACTCTGGTTGACTTCCCTTAGCTAAACACTAATTAATTAACTATTTAACTGCTTAAATTTTCCAATTGCTGACGAGAACATCCAAGTTCCAAGTGAATATTTTAATTCAATGGAATTGGATCCCTAGAGCTGCTTTACGCTTCCCAAGAGAATTAAATGAACCGGGCCAGTCTCTCGGACTATGTTAAGATAGTTAAATTAATAGATGAATTATTATTAAATAGAATAATAAATGAATACAATGTTTTGTTTGTGCATAAGACTTTGAAAACTGGATCTACTGGCTCTACGGCAATCCTGTTGCTTGTCTTATATAGGGATGGATGTGCGTCATCAGCGGGGGGAAGATATAAAAATGTCCCCTCGTATGAAATCATCCATGCGTAAAGTCTGAGTCAGCGTATCTTATGTGTCATTTTTATTTAAGATATCCGTTTATACTTTTTGTATAAATATTGTACTAAAATAATATATAAATAATTGATAATTGTGTGCGGTATTAGTATTTGTGCATACAATTGATTATAGAATATACAACTTATATTATGTAAAATGACATTATTTAATTGTGTGCAAGTATATGTAGATTTTTAGTGCATACAATTTAATCATTCTCC